GGTCCCAAAAAATGGATTTTGAACAAATAACACAAACAATCAATGTTCCACACCTATGAAAATTAAAAAAGAATTATGGGTTTTTTCCAAAAGCCTTGTTATTCCACTTCGGGGGAGTGGGAGTGCTGAGAGATAGAAAGAGCAGAAAAATGGCAAGAATGATTATAAATGAAAAAAATTGGACCAAAAAGGGTTTAGCCAGGTTGGTGGTCCAGATTGGAGCCAAAACAGTAAATTCTAGTGCTTTGCTGCAATGTGGGCTGGTGAATGCCCCACTCAACAGCTGTTTGAAGCCATCTGGTAACCATTTTTTTTAAATTTTCATTTATAATCATTCTTTCCATCTTCCATTCTTCCTTTCTCTCAGCACTCCCACTCCCCTAAAATGAATAATAAAGCTTTGGGAAAAAATCAATTTTCTTTTTTAATTTTCACAAATTTTGAAACTTTGTTTTTTGTTTTTATTTTTTCATATTCATTTTTTGGGACCTATTCTACACCACTCCAATTCTTGTGACTTCAAGTTTGTGCTTTGAAGCTCTAGAATCCAAAACAAGCAGCCAAAAATAACAGTCCACCCACTGTACAACATAATTGGATTTCCAGGTCATTGATATGGTGCAACTACAGGCCCTTTTTGGCTTGGGTATAAACAGATGGTCATTTTTTGTTTTGTATTGATGATACTCTGATGATCAAGTCACGAAACTCTTTAAGCTGTCATCCTTGGTATGAAGACTCTAGTTGTGCTTGCCCACTTTGAACCACTTCACCGTGATTTCTTGAGCCTTGGATGGAGCGGGTGCGATGGTCGGTGGCTGGTCTGGATGATATTGCATATGGATGATATTGCATACGAGCATATCTGCACTGGGAGAAAAATACTTTTTCCCTCGCCCACACACACTGCCCTTCACTTTTACCCTCAATCATCATCACCTCAAGAACTACTTACACCCGATGGCCTCACGATCCGCCCAAGCAACTGCTACAAGCAAGAAACGAAAGAACGTCGACCGGGAGGAAGCCGAGCAGGATGTCCCAGGAGGCGCTGGGGCTCTGACCACCTCATCATCCTCCACCAAGCCTTACAAGTCCAAAGTCTTGATCCTGTGCTCCAGAGGGATCACATATCGGATGCGTCACTTGATGAACGACCTTGCCAATCTGATCACTCATGGCAAAAAAGGTCAGCCACTCTCACTCTTTTTTTTTTTCTTCCTTTGCCTCTAATATATGACCCGACTGAAAAGAGTCAGCCTCTTTTTTTTGCTTGGTTCTTTGGACAAGATGCTAAACTGGACTCAAAGCACGCCCTCCCTTCGATCAACGAATTGGCCGACCTCAACTCCTGCAACCATGCGCTCTACTTCGAGTCTCGAAGACACTCCGATCTCTACCTCTGGGCCTCCCGATGTCCTAATGGCCCTTCGATCCGCTTCCATGTCGTCAACGTTCACACGATGGACGAAATGAAAATGACAGGTGAATAATCGGGTTGATCTGCTGAACTTGACGAAAATTTAGCCACTTTTAATTCATCCTGATCTTTCATCTTCTAGGCAATTGTCTAAAAGGATCTCGGCCGATCGTCACTTTTGGAAAAGAATTCGAGGACGAAGCGCACTGGAAGGTCTGCAAAGAAGTCCTGACAAATGTACATCCATAATTCATTTTGTTTTTGGACACAAAGAGAAAAAAAAAATGTTGAATTGGCTGTGTGAACTGAAAGATTCTGTTTTTAAAAATCCTAGGTATTTGCGGTGCCCAAGACGGCCCGAAAAGCTAAGCCTTTCGTCGACCATATCATCAGTTTCTCGATCGTTGACGGCAAGATTTGGTTCCGAAATTACCAAGTAACTAACTGCTCCTATCCATCACCATACGATCATCCTCACCACCAAAAATCTAATTTAAATTGAGTTTTTTTTTGCGATAGATCTTACAGAAATCGACAATCGATCCTGCGGCGACTAACAAGAAGAATACGAGCGAGGCGGATGATTTGAGTTTGACCGAGATTGGACCGCGTTTTGTGCTGACACCAATCAAGCTCTTTGAGGGCAGTTTCTCTGGGCCATGTTTATGGGAAAACAAAGGTACGACTTCACCACACCTCTCCATCCTCCACTTCTTTTTTAAGAGAAGAAACAAGAAAGATGACTAGGAAAATATGATTAATTTTCTGTTTTTTGTTTTTTTGGGATTCAGAATTTGTGCCGCCAGTCCAAGCGCTTAAAGAGCACAAGACCGAGGCCGCGCTCAAATACGTCGGCCGTAAGGAACAGGAAAGCTCCCGCGAGAGTCGCAAAGAAATCATCAATATGATGCGGCCTGATGATGAACTGGAGAAACGAAAGGTCTTCGCATGACACCGCCATGCTTGCATTCTTTCTCTTCTCGCATCCGATCGGGATCATTGGTGTCCTTTGTTCTTTTCCTGTACACACACACACATGAATATACTTCACTTGGTTCTTCTTTTTTATTTGTTTTGGAACGTTGTCTTCTTCTCTTTCTTCAAGGCTCCAAATACATACCGTTGGGCACTTCGTTCAAGCTTCCTCCCACTTTGAAGCACGCATCATCATGTCTGCATGAATGTCTGTATCGTCTCGCTCTTCTTGTGGGAGACAACTGCGGAACATCAGGCTGGACATTGTCGGGATGTCTCCTTAAGACTTCTCCTCAACTGATTCTTCTCAAAGTCGATCACTATCAGCAATCAAATTATTCTCCTTCAAACATCCTGGAGAACCTAATCAATTAGTACAGTTTGGGTCCTGTGTTTTAATTTCATATATCATCATGGCCATCATGGCAAGTTGTTGAAAGAGGTAAGTGGGTCAAGTTTTTTTTTTTTTTTTTTTTTTTTTTTTTTTTTTTTTACTTCTGTACCTCTGTTCTTGCACACAAGTCCACATAAATATGATCCACACTACGGCACATTTAATCATACAGTGCTGATTCTATAAACAAAGCTTTGTAATATATCCATGGACACTGCATGGTCCCTAGACCAAGGTTTTAAACATGACTGTTCCAAAATGAATTGGTAGCCAGCTTAGGCTATATGTTAAAATTCATGCAGAGAAAAAAAAGTGTGCTGTTTGCTACACCTCCTTGACTTGATCAAAACAAAGATTTCATCCAAATTGTAATTTGTGGCTCTTTTGATGTTTTTTTTAAATAAAGGGATGTCTCTGGCCACACTCCTGAAAAATCTCAAGGTCGGCTGATGTTTTTGAAACCATGCGGGCATGGTAACTTTCGTGATGTGAACTGAAAGGGCCATGCGTTCTTACGTGTCCTAAATAGATGAAATTTGAGAGTATTTAGACTATGTTCAAGGAACATCTCTCGAGGAAGTGGACAGGACTCGGATGAGGTAGTTGGCAGCTGAGAAAGCCCACATTTTCACATCTTGCAAACGGGCTCTAGTACTTCGATCTATCATCCTTGTCAATCTGAACAAGACCCTGCAGGAAACCCCCCAGAATTCAACCAAAATTCCGGATTCCGTCATGAATCAATTTTCAAGAGCCATTGAGCATACCTATTTTGTGTCGAGTGGAGGTACATAGATTACCGGATTTCAATGTATTCAAGGAGCCCTAGTAACACCTACTTAGGGTTTTCGCTTTTGCTCTTCTGGGTGCACGATTTTTTTTTTTTTGTTGTTGTCGAAAATGGACAGGGAAACAAGAGAGAATTACACATTGATCCACAGTCCTGAAAAGACTTGATTCAGGTGATGAGTACTCCCTTGGGTGGGGGATTCCAGGGTTCTATCTGAGCGACATTCTTATATTCTCAAGCAAAGAGCCCATTTGTTGGCGCAACCAGTGACCGACAGCGTGTCTCTCTAGTACCCTTGCAAGCGGAGTTGATGTCGATGTGCAACGCATTCGGACTCGAGTGCTACAAGCCATTGTAGAGAGCGACGAACTACAATGCTTGAGCCGTAGACTGTAGTGTGGTCCGCCGCTTAGGGTTGTGGGATACACATGATACATGCACTTGGCCCGGCAAAGATGTCTCTGGATTCGTATTTTTTTGGGGGGGATCCTTAGAGGCGCTTGCAGGGTTGCTAATGAGTTCCTCATAAAGACCTTTTCAGGATTCATGACGAGGAGGAAGGGTTTGAACTACCCTCACAGGGCCTTCTTCTGGCAGGTGATGGTGTCCGAAGAGCCTTGCAACACTACTCACTATCGAACCAGACTCGTATAAGTAGAGCAGGTTCTTGAGCAATGTCATTGAACCCCACCACATTCCGTCCAACAAACGATCATTTTCGCCTAAAGCCAGCCTCGAGAACACAAAAACCGCCTCCCCCATCCCAAGCACATTTACCATCCCATTTCCCGGCTTCATCTGTTTGACTACAGCTCACGCTCACCATCATCCCACCATGCCATCCATAAAACTCCTCACATTCTTTGCGATCATCGCTTGCGGGTTTGCGTCTGCAGATTTAGCATCAGACCGGAAAACGAGGTGCACGTTTCGTTGTCCCAGGCTTACTGAAGGAGGATGTCTAAGAATCACGCACCGGGACAAAGACGGGCAACCAAACAGATGGGAAGGTGAGTTATTTTTTTTTCTTCCTGAGTTTTTGCTTGTATGGTGATCACCGTATAAGAAATCAAAACCTCATCGTGTTCTTGTGTGTGCAACTTTGGCAGTCCTGAAAGCATACCACACCGAGAATCACCCCCTCTTTTACAATTGCCTTGGCACCAACGCGGATCTCAGCGTTTGCGCTGAGATGGGCAAGATTGTTCTACCTCACCCCCCCAAAGCCCAAGTGAGTTAGATAGACTCGCTCGAACATAACAGCCACTTGCTCTCTCAATCAGACATCCATAATAGCTGATTCCAATGTCTGTTACAAACCCCACTCCTCAAAGGTTATGACCATCGGCCTCCTCAAAACCAGAAATGGGCTTGGTAAAGACTCCGAACCTTTTGACGTCAACCATCCAGACGCAGTCAAGTGCGCCTACAAACCCTGAGGAATACATCCATGATCTTTACTTGAGCCGCCACCACGGCTGCCTTGATCACAACAGCACGACCCGCAACTTGTAGTTCCATCATTTCCTCTCCGATAAACTTCCTGTCCTTTCATTGAATGATCACTTGTAACTAGCCTAGACACTTTGCCTTGACCTATAAACATCATGTTTTCCAAACAAGTTTATTCGAGCCCAAATAAGAACAGTTAATCCATCCAAAACATGCATCAAATCGCGTTGATCATACAACTGCATCTTTTTGACTTAACACGGTACATCCTATTGGGTTTGGTTGAAAGATGATGATCAATGTACAACTACACTGCAAAAGAGTAGAAAAATGATTGAGCAAATTTTGACGTGGTAACCAAATGTATTGAGACTTGATTTATGACCAAACATTACCCCCTCAATGATGCTCTTATTACCACAGATTTTTGTATGGCAACCCTCTTTCCTTCAGTAGCTATGTGAGGTTAAGCCTAACCAACTATATCTTGAGGGGGAATCCATATAGGACTTGAAAATTCACGAAAGCATACCTTGGGCGAAGCAACTGAGAAAGTCGACCGCAAGGAAGGGGGTGATGATGATGTAGGAGGGGTTGGGGCTCTGACGACCTCATCATCATCAAAGCCTTACAAGTCCAAGGTCATCGATACTTTTGATGCTTTGCTCGCGAGGGAACCCATCATCTACATTACCCGACTGAAAGAGCTTCTTTTTTTTCTTTTGGTGAGATGCTGAACTGGACTCGAAGCACGCCCTCCCTTGATCAACAAATTGGCAGACCTTAACTCGTGCAACCATGTGCTCTACCTCGAGTCTGGAAGACATTTGGATCTCTTCTACCTTTGGGGCCTCCCGATGTCCCAATGGCCCTTGAATCCGCTTCCATGTCGTCCATGTTCACACAATGGATGGGATGAAAATGACAGGTCAATACATAGTCGAAATGATCTGCTGAACTTGACGAAAATTTAGCCACTTTTCATTAATCAAGATTTTTCATTTTAAAGGAAATTGTCTAGAAGCATCTCGTCCGATCGTCACTTTTTGGGAAAGAATTTGAGGATGGAGCGCACGGGAAGGTGTGCAAAGAAGTCCTCACAGATGTGCATCCAGGCTAAAGGTATAACCCAAAAGACGCCACCCGGGTGTTTTCACGGGTGGTGCCACCCGGGTGTCGGTCCTCGGGGTGGGTCTCTGAACCCACCTGAACACCCGGGTGGTAGTGCAATATGGGTTAATGGGAGGTATGAGCTTTTTTTTTTGGCTTGGACTCAATGTCACAAAGTCATTCTCCATGTACAGCCCCTTGACAGAAAAAATGGAACCCTTTGATTGAGGTCTAGAGGTTAAACCAATGGACTGAAATTTATGCCTCCTCATGGTGAAGCTGTAGAACATGAGTTCCAAAGAATGATTCTGAACAGTTGGATCGAAAAATGATTTGCAAAACATTTGTTATATATTTTTCCTGACCTTTTTTTTTGACTTTTTTTTTTTTGGTATTTTTCGATCATTTTTCACAAAGTACATATTTAGCTCAATAAAAAAAGAAAAGGATCAAAGCAAATCACAAGTGGAAAAGAATGATTATAAATAAAAAATGAAAAAAGTGATGATCCAAGGTTTGTATAGAGAGCAGAATTAGAAACCAGACTGAGACTGAAAATTAATCTGGTTTGATTTTCAGTGTCTGGACTCTGATTGCATTTGCAGGGTTGGTCTGGTGGCTACCAATCACACATTCCAAAGCTCTTTAATAGCAACGGTTCCAAAGCT